CAGACGGTACCCCCCCAAAGAAGGACACACGTAGACAGACATAACACGGATTGAGACAAAGCTCTATAACCATCAACCTAGCACTAGAAACACGAACAAAGCACCATGTACGAGGCTGGGGACAAAGATGAACTGCACCACACATAGACGGAGACTACCACACCTCTTAAGTACCATAGGTCACACTAGACCCAATAAGTAAGTGAGGGGAAACCTTGCACTGAGCCAACCTCTCTATTAGGGTCCTACCTACAAATGAGGAAGCTCAGATACCAATGCAGGGTTGTACAACTCCCCCTCTGACCCACGAGCACAACACAGAGCGGTTGAAACAACCCACCCGAAAACTCACACGAATCTTGAGGAGCAACCACAAACTCCATTCGCACCCGACCACAGAGGGGATTAACCCCATACAGGGCTAACGACAGAACACAACACAAAAGAACGCTCACTGTTATAATGAAGCCAAATACTCAAATACAATTTATTATCCAGTAGATGAAACTATCTTGATGCTGTAATACACATAACTGACCAGTTTATATGTTACCACATGTTAATTTATATTGGATATACATGCTGTGATTGAATATTGAAAAACTTAAATAAAGAATGTAAAAAAAAAAAAAAAAAAAGAAATTTTAGGACCCGTACATCCTGCACCGTAGTGGTAACATAGCCCACGCATAGTGCTTTTAGTGTCTAGACTGATACTTTAATGTGTTTGTGTACAGTCATCTTGCACATAGAAGGCTTATAAAATAAACTGCCACTATTGTTTTAAATTATACTGTTTCATTGACTTCTAACATTTCTTCAAAGATGTGCTACAAACGTACTTCACAGAGAGAAAGATTAGCAAAAACTGCAAACAGCGGCAGCTAGTACTACACACTCTCTCTGGTCGGTTCTTTCTCTTCCAAAGACATGAAAGAGACGTGAATACAAAATATCAATCCACACTCAGTGAAGTCAACAAGTTCTCTTTTTAGGGAAGGGTATAAGTATATGAGATTTTAATTAAGTTGTGTTAATTATAATCTCTGTGATGTGGTTACAACTTATCTGATAATTATAGGAAAGTCAATTTGGCTGTTGCCTTGTGATTAATTAGGTGGCATTAGTGCTGATAATTATACTTTTAATTATAGTATTGGTTGGAGGAAGGGATAATGCAATGGGTGCATGAGTGGAGATTTTGGGGAGACTGTGTTATCAGCTGAATATGGGGGATATTTTTAGTCATCCCACTGGTTCTTCAGAAATAGGTCTAACGCCAATAGTGTTACTTTATGTTACAACTGTTACAGGTTTTGTTAAAGAAGCTGATTGTCTGTGAAATATTCTTTAGAAAATTCTTTCCTTTGTTTACTATTACTAATGAACATTGAGAAGAAATAGGGGGAAATTTACTGAAATGCCATAATCTGAAATTGGTGCAAAGTTGTCGCAGTAACATTTAATGCGATGTTCCTACTGATTCCGCTGGTTTCCTTAGCAACAACCCTACACTTAGAGCCTTGTGCCATATTCCAGAACACAACACTTAGAACAACATTTAATATATAATATGTTAAAAAAAGATTAGTCTGAAATAATGTAACAATAAGAGTTTTTATCATACACTATATTACTTGGGGCCATAAGGAAAGGTAAAACATTTCACAGAATTCCTAATTTTTAAAGAGTCAAAAATTCTACTAATGGTTAATACAAGCAGTATTTTTTTTTATTTTTTGTTTAGTTCTATCGAAATGGTGAAGTATGTTGTGTCCATTTTAAGTCAAAATGTATCTGAGAATTGAAATACTCTTAGAACTAGGCAACTGTATTCGGCTTCAAATAAGGATTTGGCCCTGTGAGCATTTCTGGGCTGAGGAAATATATATTCAGAGCCCTTTAATTAATATGCAGATTCCCTACCCTAACTAAATATTCGGGAGAAAGATTTCAGTTCTGTTTGTTTGACTGGTGCTGAGAGACTCCCGATGCAAGAAACAATCTCTACAAAGCTTTAAACACTCCTTTAAGTAGACAGTAAGGATAGCTCTAGGTATAATCGGCTTTATGAACATCTATACATTTAAAAGACAATAATGGAATATTTATGTCCACAACTTCCTGGTAACTACAGAAGCTGAGGATTGGCAGCAAATGAGAGAAAATATCTTGATTTTTTTTTTATGCATTATCAAGATGGGGACCAAACCCAGCCTATGACTATATTAAAGATACACTCTCCAGTCACTGATACTACTGATAACATCTTGTACTTTTTGTACAAATTATGGTGGAAGCAAGTCCCCTGCTCTTGGCTTCATTCAGTCTTTTAATAAGAACTCTGAATGTTTTATAAAATCCTACAACGCCGAGTGGGATACAGATTGAACATGTGCCATAATGTGGAGTACCGTAAAAATCTATGACACCACTGGATCAATCTCTCCCCACCTCCACTATTTGCTGCCTGTTCTATATGGATTCGGTTGAAGCCCCGTTAAAGAAAAGCACTAATTAAATAAAAATATTTATTTCTCTCCTGGCAACCTTAAAATAACTCACTGGATACATCTAGTTAATCCAAAATGAAACCTACTTTGGAATTTAAAGACTGATACCTAACCAGGGTAATAGCGGGCCAACCATCCACTGTTTAATCCTGCAAATGCTTTGAAACTGAGCAATCCAGATTTGTCACCCCCGATATGGTACCAAAGCTGGTGACATTATTTACTGGGCCTTCACGTGAATGATTTGTAACAGAAAGCATACCGAGTTCTGATTGTATGTTATGCTTTTTATTTTCTTTCTTTTAAACAAAATATCATTTAAAATGTGACCTTTGTGACTGTCCAGCTTATACTTTCTTCTTGACTCATGACAATAAAAAGTTCAAAAGTAAAACACCTGATCTCCTAATAATAACAGAAACCATTCTATGATGAGGCTTCGTATAGCAATGGGCTATACATGGGGCTCCCAATAGAATGACCACTTTGCCTGCAGATGTATCAAGACGCACTATTATAACATGGTACCATTCCTGATCTCTCTGCACTGGCTATCTGTAAAATGAGTTATACAATATAATGTTAGTTTTGTGATTATAAAGCGTCATAACAACTACAGCATTTAATTTCTAACCTGGGATCTGCCGACAGATCCAATGACAGAGAAACTCTGCGCTGAGTTCCATGCAGCACAGATTACAGCTACCCAGGTAAAACGTTAAACTGCTCTAAAATGTTTTGACTACTTACAATGGAAGGGTGCTGTAGTTGTTATGGTGCTAAGAGTATTCCTTTAAAGTGTTACGCAATAAAGATCAAACCTATGTGAAATCGTACTCTATTCTGTATTTCCCGATTCATCCTATCAGCAAATGTATTACATGGTCCAATTATTCTCCACTTCTCATGAATTCTCTCGTCCCTGAACAGAAAGTCCACCTGTCGGGCTATTTAACAAAATCCATCTCTTTCTTAAGTTTTTCACTGGCACCCATCTAAAAAATTTCCATTATGATCTAATCAACTAACAATGTGCAATTTTGAGTCAGACAAAAAAAAATCTACACACAAATTATTATTTTTAAAAAGCATTTCAAACCTCAGACTATATCACAGAGAGAATTGCCTTCAACGTTTTTCCTAAATACGTGCACAGCCCCAAACACCATCAAACAAAAGGAGTGTGCATTTGCAAAATGTTATATCTGTTATGTTATTTTTTTATCTGTTGATATTTTCCTCGCCGTTTCAGAAACCCATTAAACACATCTTCCACTTTTCCTGATTCACGGCTAAAATATTAAAAAGCGTGTTAGATAACAGACTTATTTCAACATCACTACACATGGTGATTAGGAAATGCAGTGAGATTTTTACGGTGTTACTTTATGTCCCGCGCGTCGAACTGTTTTTTTTTTATGCTCATAATTTAATTAAGTAATAAAAATGTGCTTATTGACAAAACATAGCTTTAGAGTACAAAATAGAATTCAGATAACAAAAGTTGCAATTATTCTATAAGATATTTTATGCAGACTGTGCGTCTAACTTCTTAGTTATAACATTGACATTTCAGCACAGGTTCTACCAATTATATTATGAAACCATGAGAATCTGCCAAATCACTCTGAGTATCTGAGAATCTGCCCAGTCACTTTAAGACACCAAGAATCTTCGAATCTGCCAATTTACCTTGCAAACTGTCTTTTCACCCTGAAAGCTTTAGAATCTTAAACATTTTAAGTGGATAAAGAGGGGACACTTTAATTTTAGTGATATGAGCCAGGGTGTGGCCAGGGACCTGTTCACTCAGCTATATAACTCACTTAAACTGTTAATAGCTTAGCCCCCGCACTTTGATTTCTCTCCTGCAACTGCAATTAAAACACAACCACTAAGCCCTCAGTGTATACTATCCTAGCAACCTACGTTTCTACCATACCCTTACCCAGCGTTGTATTTGCCAAGATGCAAACAAGGCATTTGCCTTGGGCGACACTTTCCAGGGGGCGGCAAAAAAAGCCACCCCCAAAGGCCCAGGCAAATGCCTTGTTAGCCTTGGGGCAGGCAGCTTGCAGAGATCCAGGCGGGCGGCGATCGAGCGCTGATTTGTGAGCAGTCCCTGCTCAGCTGCCTTGCGCACTGCAAAATGATGCTGGGAGCCAGAATGTGATGTCATATTCCAGCTCCTGGCATCACTCTCCGCCTGCCTGGACCTCAACTGTCCACCCGCCTGCCTGCACACTGCCTTCCTGCCCAAACAGCCCGGCCAGCACCCCCACTAGACCCCAGGCAAAAAATCCACCCAGCTTTCCCAGGCTGGGTGGATTTAAACTAAAAAAAATAAAAAATCTGTGAGTGTTGGGGGGAAATGTGTGTGTGTGTCTGGCTGTCAGTGTGTGTGTCTGGCTGTCAGTGAGTCTGTGTGTGTATATCTGTCAGTGTGTGTGTGAGTGAGTGAATGAGTGTGTGTGTATCTGTCTGTGTATCTGTCAGTGTGTGTCTGTGAGTGAGTGTGTGTCTGTAAATATGTCTCTGTGAGTGTGTCTGAGTGAGTGTGTGCCTGTCTGTCAGTGTGTGTATATCTGTCAGTGTGTGTCTGTGAGTGAGTGAGTGAGTGTATGTCTGTCAGTGTGTGTCTGTGAGAGAGTGAGTGTGTATGTATGTCAGTGTGTGTCTGTGAGGGAGCCTGTGTGTCTGTGTGTGAGTATGTGTCTCTGTCAGTAAATGTGTGTGTGTCTGAGTGACTCTGTGTGTGTGTGTGTGTGTGTGTGTGTCTGTCAGTTCATGTCGGTAAGTGAGTGAGTGTGTATGTCAGTGTGTGTCTGAGTGATTGTGTGTGTCTGTCAGTGTGTGTTTGTGAGTGAATGCATCTGTGTGTGTGTGTGTGTATGTATGTATGTGTGTGTGTCTGAGTCATTGTGTATGCCTCTCAGTGTGTGTGTCTGTCAGTGGGTTTGTGTGTGTTTGTCAGTGAGTGAATGTGTGTGTCTGCGTCATTATGTGTGTATGTCAGTGAGTGTGTGCATGACTTCAGTTATTGTGTGTTTCTGTCAGATTCTGTCAAATCAGTGAGTGTGTATGTCAGTGTATCTGAGAGTGTGTCTGTCAGTCAAAGTGTATGTTAGTCTTTAACAGGAAGAGGTGTGGCCTTGAGAGGAAGGGGTGGGGCAAATTTAAATTAGGGGGTGCCCAAGTTCTGTCACACCTTGGGAAGCACAGATCCAAAATACACCACTGCCCTTACCTCTTGTGTTACTATACCCCACTCCCTCTAGCATGTAAGCTGATTGAGCAAGGCCCTCAACCCCTCTGTTACTGTGTGTTCAAATTGTCTGGTTACAATTACGTGTCTGTTAGTTCACCCATTGTACAGCCCTGCGGAATTTGTTGTCGCTTTATGAATAATAATAATGATAATAATAATATGCATAATGAAATGTTGATGGTTTAATCCCAGAATGCAGAGCATGTAGACAAACTCACAACATTCTAAGAGAGAGTTCAGCACCTGCCAAGGCACAGTTAAATTTGCAGCCCAGCAGCACACAATAATCTTTTTATTTAAAATATTAAATATTAAATAACATCTAACCTAATGGATTTGCAATCATTTTATTTTTACCTAAAGTGTGGATTAAATTTTACTGCTTACAAAGTGCCATCATGTAATTTCTACAAATATCGCTGAAAGTGCGTCACCCTATTCACATCGTTTCCGTCTCTCCATGGCAATACAGCATATTACTGTCCCAAACAGCAGGTACTTCATGGTAAATGCACAGCACTACAAGCTCTGTATGAGCTTCTGTCAATTTCTATTTCTAAAGTTAAGCCCCAAACTCCGCTATTTCAAATCGCCATAGAAACCACCAGGTCTTATCTTTAAACCATGGGTAGTCAATCACTTAAGTTACCAGACATTCATTTTTTTTCAAACAGACAGACACAGAATGACAGATATAGACAGACACAGAAAGACAGACATAGAGAGACAGACAACTAAACGGAGACATACTTTGTGAAGTGGTCTGCATTACGATGCTAAAGTAAGGAGAATTTATAGTGAAGTTAGTGGTAAGTACCAGACAGACAGAGATATATAAAATATTTTATAAATAAAATAAATAATAAAATAATAATATGGATATAGAAAAAGAAAAAATATATATCTATAGTAAAGATTATTTAGTAGTGATGTCCCGAACTGTTCGCCGAATGGTTCGCGAACGGTTCGCCAGGAATGGTTCGCCACGGACTCATCATTGAGTAAACTTTGACCCTGTACCTCACAGTCAGCAGACACATTCCAGCAAATCAGCAGCAGTCCCTCCCTCCCAGACCCTCCCACCTCCTGGACAGCATCCATTGTGAAGCTGCATTCTTAGTGAGCTGTCCAGGAGGTGGGAGGGTCTGGGAGGGAGGGTCTGCTGCTGATTGGCTGGAATGTGTCTGCTGACTGTGAGGTACAAGGTCAAAGTTTACTCAATGATGAGTCCGTGGCAAACTGTTCGTGGCGAACCGTTCGCGAAGCGTTCGGCGAACAGTTCGGGATATCACTATTATTTAGTACTGCACAGTTGCGCATGGTCTTTCTCAAAGCATTTGATTGCTGCCAATATTTACATTTCTTTACATTTAGAACATTTTTCAAACTGAATACCATACCACGTGCAAACAGCAACAGTAGCCCGAGGATATTTAGGAATAAGATCAAGAGTAAAAACTGAAGGCGCTTTGTGTGCTGACTTACAAGGATAGTTCTCTTCATATTTCACACATTGATGACAGTTTCAAGCTACACTATTCATACAGCATGTGGGGTGCAAGCTTGTGGCACTGAGTGGGCCCGGTCATAGTCACAGCTGGATATACACAGAGAGAGAGGTGGCACACGTCGTTAAATGGAACAGCCAACCATCCCCAGTCACAATGCACCGAAATGACCCAGGTCAAATACAAGCAATTGGCCAACTTGGGCCAAAATATTGTCGAGCTGGAAACAGTGCTCTGAGATTGATGTTTCTATAACTCGTTAACATTAGGATTAGAATTTAACACAATTGGACATATAATGTGTGATTTTAAACCCAAGGCACACAACTGGTCCCAAGGGGGATAGAAACCAAACAACAAGGTGGGAAAGTAGCAGAATTGGAAGGTGAAAGTGGAGTGTGGCCCTTTAATAGAGCGTAAGAGGCCACCTTATGAAATAGAAGTTACTCTGGGAGGCCACAAGCTTTTTTGAAGAGACATGTTTTGAGGGACTGAAGACCAGGGTATTGTCTGATGGAATGGGGCTTCCTGCAAAAAGTCCTGAATGCACGAGTTAGCAGTAAGGGTGCGAGCAGCAGACAGGAGAAGGTCATCGGCAGAGCTGAGAAAATAAGTAAGACAGGAATCCCTGAGTGGTTCTTCAAGAAATGCTACCTCTGCATAAGGCTTTGGCTGCCAGACTTAGTAGCTCTGAGTACTGAGTGCAAACGTATGAATGCTGTTGTTTTGGGCAAATAAATTACACTTAAGACCCACGGGTCCAAGACAAGCCAGCCAGCCCTGAAGAACTGGAGATGTTACCCTACTGGGATATCTGGCCGTGGGAGCCATCATGCAGACTTTGTAGGGGCAACAACTTTCTTGGTCTCCTTTCTTTTCTTCCAAGGGGGACATTGGCAGCCTCACGCACTCTGTGGTAAACCTCGGAGCCATATAGCATTTAAAATGGAGATGAGGTGTCCCTCGATAGAGAACACAAACTCAGCTGCAGACTTGTACAAAATAAGAAAATCTAATTTGGTCAGTTAGAGCTCCGATAAATCTACTGTCCTCCTGGGAGTCAGAAACAGTACTGGAAATGCTAGAGGAGGGTTTAGAAAGGGAGAAGCACATTGAAACATTGCATTGCATGAGTGTTTCTACCTCTACTGGTTGTGGATGACTTTATCCCATTTGTTAAAGGATCACTATAGGGTCAGGAACACAAACATGTATTCCTGACCCTATAGTGCTAAACTCACCATTTAGGTGGATTGCCCCCCTTAGCCCCTCTATAAAAGTTTAAAACTCAACCTATTTCCAGCACCCCGTGCTGGCTCCACACCCTTTGTGACATCATCAAAATGGCCGATTTTTAGCCACTCAATTGGCTAAAATTGGCACAGGGCAGGGCCAAATGCTGTTTTGGCCAATCAGGTCCTCCTCATAGAGATGCATTGAATCAATGCATCTCTATGAGAAAAAATCAGCATCTCCATGCAGAGCGTGGGGACCATAGGTGTGCGCACAGGGTGTGCCGGGTGTGCCTGGGCACACCCTAATTCCCACGGCACGCCTATGTATTGAGACTGGCAGGGGAGATCTCAGAATCCCCCCTGTCGGCTCATGCAGAGCCGGCGCTATCCGAGTGCCGGCTCTGCTCTCAGCCTCCCTCCCCACCGACCCACAGGCAGGGAGGGAGGCAGGCAGGAGAGGACCCGGGGAGCTCTTGCCAGCAGCTCCGCCTGGTTCCTCTCGCGAGATCTGAGCGTTGACGCGGTTACCGCGGCAACGCTCAGATCTCGCGAGAGATAACTCTAGCCCCGCAGGCTAGAGTTCACTCTCACCACTAGGACCACCAGGGAAGGCAGAAAGGATCCCCCCTCTCTGGCATAAGGTAACAAGGGAGGGGTGATATTAAGCAATCTGCCCCCACCTCCACTGGCCCACCAGGGAAGGCAGCAGCACAGTCCCCCCTCCCTACATAAGGTAAGAAGGGAGGGGCGATCTTTATTAACTAATCTGCCCCCACCTCCACCCCCACAAATCACCCAAACAGCACACACACACACATACAGCACACACACACATACAGCACACAAACAGCATACAAACAGAGCACACACAGCACACACACATACAGCACACAAACAGCACACACACAGCACCCACACACCACACACACACAGCACACACACACCACACACACACAGCACACACACACATACAGCACACACACACATACAGCACACACACACATACAGCACACACACAGCACACACAGCACACACACACAGCACCCGCACACACACAGCACACAGCTCAGTCATGAAAAGGCAGTGTTTACATGAAAATGATTATACTCACCAGAGCAACTACATTAAGCTGTATACTATAGATGAAGCTGTAGTTGTTCTGGTGACTATAGTGTCTCTTTACGCCATGTGGGCTTACACCGTCTAGGAAGGAAAATATTAATTTTCAAATGACAAAAAATAAAAAAAATTCTCCATGCTCTCCTTTTTAATGCGTGATTTAACATCACTCATAACAATAGTAAAAACATAGTATTAGTATATTTAACTTGTCGCTAGTTTCCAAGTGCAATCTGGGGTATTATTACTGCTCACAATGTTACTCTTTTTTATTGACTTTGATGGGATAAAATAGTTTAATTTGCTACCTTATGAATCTGTGCATAGACAGCGTTAACATCTCAGCTTCATTACTCAAATATGTTTATTTAAGGGGAAATAATTATTTTTGGCATTTTAAAAATAATATTAAAAAATGTAGAGTGTTTTTTTTTGGGGGTTAAGAAATTTGACACTAAAGAGAGGGTAAAATGCTCGAGTTGCACCAAGAAACAGTGAATTGGAGTAAATTGCAAAATGCAGGTAAAAAAAAGAATACGATGGAAACAATTTTCTAATTCA